ACTTTCAAAGACAATGATGATTTTCTAGCAACCTCTTCAACGCACAATTCATGACAATAAGAAAATTAATAAGTAATTTCATAACTTTTTTTTTATTTAAAGAGAATTACAATCAAGGAGCTCTCTTCCTCAGCTGCATATTTATGTAATTTTTGAAACAATCATCGAAGTAAGAAGAACAGTTATAGAGCATGAGATTTACATTTTAATTTATTTGCATTTCCTTTTCGCTCTTTAGGCACCCACGTATGCACAGGATCCTACATAATACGTTATATGGTCACAGTGACGTAGCAATGACTTTCCATGACTGTTGCTGCGTGGTGATCGTAAGCGCTGCGAGTTACATGAAATTACGGAAAGTATAAAAAGTACTTCACTACTTTTGTGAAAGAAATCTGAATTACCAGCCTTGAATACAAGGAGCTTTCGAAAGTTAACTACGCATAACACTCAAGTAATATTCTTTGTTAATAATTTGTCCTATTGGAATGAATTCGGAGTGTACCACACCTCGATGATCGAAGAAAACTGTAAACATATCCTTTGATTATTGACCTGCTTTGACGAATTTTTTTTGTTTTTTTTTTGTGCTTCGGCTCACATTTTCCACGATGTTCGTCTGTTTCTGGATCGTAAGCATAAATCCAAGATTTATTGCCAGTAATAATACGCTTCATTGCATCTAGGTAGTCGGAAAGAATAGTTTCACAGACGTTAACGCGACGCTGTGTTTCGAAAAAAAATTAGTGATTCTGGAATCCTACGTATTCACGTTTCTTAGGCCCAGATGATCTTTCAATACGGTTTTCACTGATCCGATATTCCAATGAATCCCCAACTTGCTACTTTATATTAAATTTATACGTTAAATCACCAAAAGAAATTATACACATTCTATGTTGTTCATATAATTTTTTCCAATGATGTGTGTTTATTTTTGTGAAGATAAAATATTCATTGCAAAATATTAATTAAATTCCATGTTTAACATATGGGAAAATAATATAATTTAAGCGCGGTTTAAATTGCAAATCGCTGGAACCGTGTTTTCAGGGTCAAAACTGTAATATCAGAAATCGTTTGCAAAAAACAATAACTTGTGAAAGAATGGACACCCTAAGGATATATATATAATATGAGTGTTCACTGACCGTTATGTTGCAGTAAATGCCGTTTATCATCACATGCACGTGCGTTTGTTTATTTTCTGTTTAGTTGAAGCTAAATTATTAATATGACCAGATTTGGTTGTTGCCTTGAGTTTCGTATGAGGGCAATTGTTGCGCGGTGCTGGAGCAAAGGTGCCGATAAAGGTTTATGCCGACTGACCACTAGCAGCAGCCAGCCCACAACGTTGAAAAAAATTTTTAACAGTACATTTGTGTAAGCATCGGCCCACACAAATCCCAACCTCGCAATGAAAAACGAAACAAACATAGAAAAGAAATATATTGATGCGTGTGGCTTGTATTTTGTTCCTGTTCGCACACAATTTGCAAATTGGCAACAGCATAATTTTGCAACGCGCCAGTACATATTATCCACAATTTCGAAATGTAAATATGTTGTAATGCTTTGCAACCAATAAGTTAAAATAGCTCATTATGCCTAAGGTTAAAAGTAAAATGGGCGCGGGAAATAAAAATTTTTTCGAATCTAGTTGTCATTTTCAGGTCTGCTTTTAGGTTCATAAGCATACTTTTCAGTTTTCTGTGGACTGCATTCGCTTTAGTTGCTTGAATTTTTCTTGTCTGCTATTTATGCGAATGTAATTATAAATTAGCGATGCAAAACTTTTAACAATAAGTATACTATTGCAGACGTTAAGTCGATTGTCGAATTAACAAGTAAGTAAGTCTAAGTTATAACCAAATAATCAGAGAATTGAAAGTCATTATATGTAGTACATGGTGATAAGAGAAAACTGGGGTTTATATCATTAAATTTCAGCGTTAAGCCAAAATAGGGGCGGCGAGCTTTAATACTAATGGATCAAAACTTGCGGAAGAGTTGGGGAGGAGTAAACTGTCGGGAACCTATTATCAGGTCAAGCGTATTGTGGCGATTATTTACTCTGAAATTAGGGCAGCAATATTAGTCCTGAGTTCCTTAATGCATAATCAATTCTAGTGAAGGAATGTCTACACTCTTTATCTTTAGCATAGAGTTAGTATATGATTAGTATTGCTTTGGTGGTATTGCAAGAAGCTGTAAGAACGGAGAGTCAAGTGTCAACCACTACATAATGAGAGATTTCATTGGCCTCTTGTAATTTACTACTGGACTGTTGGGCCTCAGACCCGTTCAGTAAACATTAGTCAACTATGTACTAGCAGATGTGTAGCCGCAAGGACTTTATGTCGCAGAGTACATTTTAAGAGATTTAGTGAACTCTTGCCCTAGGCAGGATTGACCTTTCATAGATTGTAAGCGTTCTAACTGTTCCAGCTACATGAGCTGCTTGGAAAAGGTTGAGGTAAAATCACCTCAACATTTCCATCTTGAGTGACCCAATTTTTCCATAGGAAGGTAAAAACAGACAAGCAAGCGGAAATAAAAATAAAACACCTAAGCAGATTTGTGAATTGTTCAGGCGTTTTACCGATAGTTGATATCCAACTACAGAATTTTTCCATCTCACCTCACAAAGTCTGTACGTAATAGCCTAAGTGGGATCAGCTGTTTAACCTAGCTTTACTTTTTTATGGCCAAAAGGCACCATGAACGGAACGGACCCATATTATCTAGTTAGCATCAGCTTCTCTGATATTAAATTGTGAGAGTTCCGTAACACATTTGCTTTCACGTAAATATTCGGGAGAAATTTGATGTTATTTTTGAGATCATTTCGATAAATGAAGAACAAAGAGTGGTAGAGAGTGTTTGTCTTTAATTTTGGTTAGTAATAAATATTTCGAAATCAAGAGCTTAGGGCATAGATTACCAACCTTAAAGTCATCTTTGAGAAATGTTCAAAAGCAATTTTCTCATTTAATCCAGTTCTTCACTCTCTAACCAAAAGAAATCGCCAAGTAATAAACTCGTAAAATATTTCCACTACTTGACACATTTTTATGCACATAGCACGCTTTCAAATTTTGAAGGGCAAGCGTCTTAATACTTTTGAAAGTATGTGAGAGTGAAATTGGAGGAGGGAGGAAAAGAAATAGGAAGCGACTGCTTCTTCTGCTGTTAACAATTGCTATATTTCTTTGTGTCATACAAAACGGCACTGCGATATAACGACTCCACTCTCCAACTCAATCGGTTGAGTGCTATACAATGGAGTTTCAATACATGGACCGCGAAAGAGTTGTGGAATGCTGCTAACAGTTTTGTGTACGCGTCGCGGGGTTTTTGTGGCAAAAACTCCCCAAAAAGAATGCAACGTGAATTACAAATTCAGCACAATGTTCTTTGCTCATTTATAAATTCGTAAAATAAATTAAGAATAATGATGAAGTTCATCAGCGGCGAAAAAACGGAACATACAGACAACAATTTGGTAGGACACAGTACACACGACCTGAAAAAAATTTGAATTAATTTAAATAATGATATGATGCATAATCTAGAGCTAACTGTAATTTGCGCGCCACACAATATGCTCCACCGCTCGTTTAATAATGAAAATGAATATCAAGAAATTTGAAAATAGTTTCGATTGTGTTGGGATGTTGGGTAACAAATAAGTTATACATTAATAAGAAAAGTTTTTGTTAAAAAAAATTGGGTTATATGCTTCCCATTTGTAGAAAATCTTGTGGTTATCTTTTTTATTTCTGCTTCGAAAATTTATTGAATAATGTTTATAAATTGTTCAACTTCATTCCGTTAAAACTACGAATATGCTATTATTTGTTTTAATTTAAATAGAGCAGGGACAAACGCAAAATATGTTAAATTCATACACATATTTTTTTTGGAGTCTCTAGAGAACAAAATTTTGAATATACTCAATTACTTATACAAATTAAACAACAGAACGCACTTAAGTGCTTACAACATTTTAATGCTTTTTATACTCTCGCAACAAAGTTGCTAAAGAGAGTATTATAGTATTGTTCACATAACGGTTGTTTGTAAGTCCTAAAACTGAAAGAGTCAGATATAGGGTTATATATACCAAAGTGATCAGAGTGATGAGTAGAGTTGAAATCCAGATGTCTGTCTGTCCGTCCGTCCGTCTCTCCGTCTGTCCGTCCATCCGTGCAAGCTGTAACTTGAGCAAAAATTGAGATATCATGATGAAATTTGGTGCACGCATTTCTTGGCTCCATGAGAAGGTTAAGTTCGAAGATCTGCAAAATCGGCCCACTGCCACGCCTACAAAATGGCGGAAACCGAAAACCTATAAAGTGTCATAACTAAGCCATAAATAAAGATATAAAAATGAAATTTGGTGCAAAGGATCGCATTAGGGAGGGGCATATTTGAACGTAATTTTTTTGGAAAAGTGGGCATGGCCCCGCCCCCTACTAACTTTTTTGTACATATCTCAAAAACTACTATAGCTATGTCAACCAAACTATATACAGTCGTTTCTTTTAGGCATTTCCATATACAGTTCAAAAATGGAAGAAATCGGACGCCCACGCCCACCTCCCATACAAAGGTTATGTTGAAAATCACTAAARGTGCGTTAACCGACTAACAAACACTAAATTTTACGGAAGAAATGGCAGAAGGAAGCTGCACCCAGGCTGTTTTTAAAAATTGAAAATGGGAGTGGCGTCGCCCACTTATGTACCAAAAACCATATCTCAGGAAGTACTCGACCGATTTGAATGAAATTGGGTATATAACACCCTGATGGTTCACAACCACGCCTGAAATCTCGATTATCACTTTATCATGAGAGAGTATAAAATGTTCGGTGACACCCGAACTTAGCCCTTCCTTACTTGTTATTATATACGAATGCTTGCATATTTACTTTTCTTCACATACTTCTTGGAACTCAACATTATTTACACTTTTCTTACACCTCATTGCAGGCAGCGGCGCAGCGGACCTCACTAAGGATCAGTGCAATAAAACCGTGGACATCTTCGAAGATGTCAGTTCGCCGGAGGTGAATAGCCTGAATGTAGGCCGGCCGTTAACCTGTTGGTATCGTTTCCGTACGCTGAAAGGTGCACCGCGTGACTTTGTGTTGCGGTTGCGTTTTAAAAAGTTTAAAGTTGGCACACTGCTGAATGCTACATACTGCGAGGGCGGCTATTTACAGGTGAGTGTAGCGTGTTGTGTGGGGCGAGAAGACTGGAGAATTTAATAATACATATTGTGTTATTAGTAGGGAGTATAAGAGCGGTGGTAAGAGACGCTGCAGAGTCAATATTAAAAGTGCCGTTAGCAAATATTTTCCCTCAAGTAAACATATTGTATATGGGGTTTTTTGATATACCTATATATTTGCAAACACAGCAACCTGTATTTTTTGCACCAATTTTTTTTGGTATTTGCGCTGTCTGAAAGCATGCAGTAAGTTCAAGTGGTTCATATGCATGCGCCGCTTTTTACAAGCAACTATCACCAGTTGGAAAAATCTGATTTATGGACGCGTACAAGCGTATTGGACTCTAAATCCTTGTTGAAAAAATACAGCAACAGCAAACGCATTCTGTAATTTATGAGTACTCAGCTATATGGGAGCGCCCAGAAGTGAAAAGCACTTGAAGCGCATTTGGGTGATGCACTTCTATACCCACTCTATGGGCGCCTGTTGGTAGACTAAAGATTATTTTTCTATTTTTGTGGCTTTACTTGCTCACTATGTAGTACTTTGGGTTGGGTATTTGGTAGTCACTATACATTTTTTTTTTTGTTTTTAGGGACCGACCACTAAATTGTAACATACAGGGTGGCTGATGAATTTTTCTACATTAAGAAACTGAAATAATTACTTTTTTTTCAGTGGATGGAATTCATTTTTCTTTTATTCATGTTAAAGCTCATTCAATTTTATTAAATTTAACTTTGTTAGTTTTAATTTAAATGCCCCCCCTGCTCGTTGATGCATGTGCGGCATCTTACCAAAAAGTTGTCCATTACTGCTTGGAGAGTTGAGACAGGAATAGCCGCAATTGTTTCTAGAATGGATTGCCCTAGTTCATTCAAATTTGTTGGTTTTTCTTTGTAGACTTCCTGTTTGCAATAACCCCACAAGACAAAGTCAGGTGCAGTAAGGTCAGGTTTCTGGATATCGGCTTATTGGGAAATTTTTGTCGCAATTCTGTCATAACAGGTTGGGCTATGTGAGGAGCTGCACCATCTCTCTCAACAAGCTCAAGTAACGGTCTCCAGTAACCGTAACGGTGTGACCGTTTTCTTCGAAGAAGTAGGGCCCGACAATGCAGCGTGATGAAACTGCACACTACACTGTGACACGATGTGGATGCAATTCCGTCTCATTGAGTATCTGTGAGTTGGAAGCACTCCAAATTAGACAATTTTCTTTGAGCAGAAAAGCTTCTTGTCGAAACACGTGGATTGGTTTGTATGGCAGCAGCTACAGCAGCGATTGTGTCCTCCGTTCGAACTGAAGGGTTTCGATGTTAAGGTCTACTGTTGACTGTCCCATGCTTAGAAAAGTTGTTTACAAGTCTCATTATGGTCCATCTGCTCGGAGGATTGCCATCAAACGTGCGCCTATACTCTCTTTGAACCGAAACTGCGAACTCCAGTGCTTGACTGCGGCGGACAATCCAAATTCTTGTGTCAGTGTCCCAGTTATCCATTTTTGTTAAATGTAAAATTCAATCTGCAAAATAAAAAAAGATTAACCAGATTCATTAAATAGAAAAAAAGTTATTTAATTGTTTTTTGGTAGCGGTTTTCATCAGCCAACCTGTATGAGACTGCTGGAGCAATAGCTGAGTGTGCAAAAATACTTAAAAATAGTTGCGTATTAGCTTACTCTGGGGCTTGAAAGGTAACAAAAATTGCTATAACAACAAGTAATCAGTAAAAGCATTATTGATATGTTTTCCACGATATTCAAATTGTATAGGCTGTGCAATAAAAAGAGGATGTGAATGAAATTACCGAAATTGCATATGCCAAAGTAAGACAGATAAACATTTTCGAAATTTATGCACGTCTTTATTCTTACGTGTTTTGGGGCTGTACTTCGTGAGACGCAGATTTTAGCTGAGCAGGGTTGACTTCTCTTTTTAATATAGTGTATTTTGTTTTCTATTCCGTGTTTACTTCCTTAGGTATACTTAAATATTTGTGTATTTCTTTTCGCACCAGATTGTGGATGGCAATGCGAAGACTGACGTATCCAATCGCCGTGAGCCCGGCATGTTTTGTGGCGAGGCCGAGCAGCCGCAGACTTTCATCAGTGAGACCAATTATGTCAAAGTGCTCTTCCACACGGATAATTTTACCGATCAGGTATGTGTATAAGGCAATGTGAACAATTTATATATAATATATCACTAACCGTAAATAACAAAACTAACTGCTCCCACAGAAAGAGCAGCTATTGTCATGATCATACTTATGCAGATACTCTCTGAAACATCCGTATCCTGTTAGAAACTGCATCCAATAATACCTCGGCATGCTTTCGCTCCACACATGTTTGAACATTACTGATTAATCAATGCGTTCATCTTCCATTTGCTGCTATGTCCCAGCGAATTTGCCATTCCTGTAAGCTGATTTCTTCTCTTTACGCTCCGTGATTATCCCTTCATGCCCATATTTTTTGGTCTTGTCATAGATCCGCTTTAGTTCTCAAGTCATTATGTCTGGCGGCATTATCCCAGATATAATTCTTCATGAGACACCGTGCGGAATTTGCAAAAAGTGCAAATTGCACTTTGCCGGAACACTGATTTTGCCATTCTCGCATATGTTTTTTGCATTAATGCTGACTCCCTAACAGGCGCGGCGTACATTAAAATCGATTGGCTAACCTTCGCCAAGACCGCTCTGCTGTTTGGTTTTGGTCCACCTGTGTTGGCCATGATTCTGGCTAAAGCTGCATTTATCGGGCAGCTTTTTCGCAAATTTTCTCAATGCGGACTTTGTAACTGAGTCTCGCGTCTTTTATTACGCCGAGGTACTTTAGTGATGATTGTGATGTAATGCTGTGTCCGTCAACATTTAGGGAGATATTCTCGAGCTTTTTTATGCTTGTTCCGTCTTTTGTTCTGCGAGTTAAAGTTTTGAGCTCTTAAGCCAATTTTTATTTTCGGAGCAGTCTCGCTACAATGGTTCCCGCTATATCATCAGCGTATCCGATAATTTGTACTTCTTTAGGCAGCGGTAGGCGTAGTATTCCGTCACACAAGACATTCCATAAGAGTGGAACCAATACGGGACCTTGTGGCACACCACCAGTTACTGTATACTCTTTTGGGCTTTCATCATGGGTCTTTCACGTCGAGCGTTATCACCCCGCAGTATTTATTTTTTGCTGTATATCCATCTATATCTTCCTATGGCATCTTTCGCAAAACCTGTGAGCTTGTTAATTGCGTCAACCATTGAGCGTTTTTTGCGGAAGCCGTATTGGATGTTGGACAGGAAGTAGACCTCACCTTCTAGGTGACTTTCTAGACGGGCACAGATGATTCACTCCAGAATTTTACCCATTTTGACGATCATGCACATTGGACGGTAGAAGCTTGGTTTCCCTTCTGGTTTGTAATTGAACTAGGCGTTGCCTTTCTATGTCTTGAGGAAAATCCCTTCCCGTAGAAATCGCGTAAATAGCTCCACAAATAGTTTTGCGGTGTATTTCACGACGAGCTTTAGGGCCCTCTTCGGAATTCCATCCAGACATGGTGCTTTAGAATTACCGAATTTTTACTTGGTTTGCATCTGTGCGCTCTGCTTTTTCAAATAGTAAACCTCCGCCTTCTTAACTTTGCTTAGGAAAAGCGTTTCGTCAAGTGTTTCAATCCCTTTGGACTGCACTCTTTTGCGACTTTTGCGGTTCTGCACAGCCCTTTTGTGCGCTTCCTGATGTTCATTTGTATAGCCAGATGGTCACTCTGAGTTTATAAATCCGTCAGCCGCCAGTCTGTTGATCGGATTAGGGTTCTACTGGCAAAAGATATGTCAATAATGGAGCCACGCTCATTCTTTTAAAAAGTTTTCTTTGTTCCTGTGTTCAAAATGACAGCGTCTAGTACAGCGAAGGCTTTAAGCAGTCAACAATCTGTCGGGTTAGTTGCTTTGCTTCCCAATTCTAACGGTCAGGCACTGAAATCTCCCCAAATTATATTTGGTGCAGTTGTCGTTGTATCTTTCACGAGTTCGTAAAAAATTATTAGATTCCATATATTTTCACTCTGGGGCAATAGGCCCTTCCTACTAGTGCTTTTCTTGGAGTTGTTTTGTCTCCACATACCCATATTACTACCTTCTTTGTGGTATCTGAAATCCACTTGTCAGTGCTTTTATTTTTATATGGTTCTCAAATTATTGATACATCAATATTATTTTCACATACCGTTTGGGTAAATAGGTCCTGAGCCGCCTCACAGTGGTTCAGATCTTTATTTATTTATTTATGAAAACGTGAAACAATAATACTGGCACTGGCTGCTAGGACCTTCGGCTCGCTGATGTAAATATATAATGTATAGTTATTGCTTAATTAAGTCTTAGGTGTAAAGTTAATAAAATGTTCTGTAGCTAATAGAAAAGTTTTAAGAACAAAATAAATAATAAGTAATGGGAAGTTTATAAACATAATCATATTTGTGGTTTTAATCCAGTTTGTACTAAGAATGCTGATATTTTTGTTACGTTTTCGGAGGAACTCGTTTGTAACAGAGCAGACGGTATTTGGTCGTCGAAGATAYTTTTTCTAAWCGCTGTGAAATGTGGGCAGTCGTCGAGTAAATGATAGGCTGTTAAAGCTAACGACGGGCAGTGTTGGCAGACTGGTGGACTAGAACGATTTAGGAGGTGCGCATATGTGGCAATTGTGTGTCCTAGGCGTAATCGGATMAATGCTTTGATGTCGTTGCACCAGCAGCTGGAGGGATAGCTTAGTTTTATCCTGTTCGGGTTATTCGCAGTATATTGGTGCTGGATAGATCTCCAAGTCTCCATATGTGAGTTATATTGGAGCTGCGATATACACTTATACAAGTCTTTTTTCATAATATAGTCAAAAGTTATTAGTGGTTCTTTTGCTGCGAGTTTAGCCCGTTCGTCTGCCAGATTGTTTCCTTTTTCCTTTTTTGCTCCGAATACAGGAAATTAAGTAGGACTTGTTGCTTGTGTTTAATACCGAGTGTATGGTTGACTTGCTATCAGCGCAGATAACTGCTTTAAAACTAGATTTTTCGACGAAGATGGTTGCGTTGAAGATAGCGACAGCTTCAGCTGTGAAAACCGAGGAGTAGCTGGGAAGTATTCCTGTTGTAATTGTTCTTCCCTCGGAGTCAACGACGGCGAATGTTGTGCTAATGTCGGTTTTYGAACCATCTGTGAAAACGAATTTCCAGTCTGGGAGCAGTGGAGTTGTATATTCCGCGAAAAGGCGTTGAAATACGGATACGTTTTGACGGAGAGAAGGGAATGTGATATCAAGCTCTCTGGCGTATTCGATGAAGAGGAATATTGACG